ACCTTAAATTACTAACAAAACTGAGTTATGCTTTTATTTATTGTAAAGTAAGATTAATAAGACCCTTAATATAAAATCTCTTATTATCAATTTTAATTGTCATAATTTTTCATGTTATTTTCTTAAAAGTATTAGTAGTAGTCATTTGCAACGCATCAACGCAATCTCTTTAGAGAATATCTTTTCTATTTCTTGATAATAATTGAAACACTTTTCATATTCAAGAATATGCTACTACTAGATGCAAATGTTTATCAATTAGCAATCGCTGATAAAAATGAAAGATAAAGTTTTATTGAAAACCAATATTGTTTTTGTTTCGGGCTGTTTGACAAGGAGACGTTAATCATTATCACTAATAAATCATTAACTTCTCAACAAAATTATGAGTCATTTGCGTTGATTTTACTTATTTAAATATGCATATAGATTAACTAAGTTCTGATTTGTTAATTAGCCGCCCTCGTGACTGCTTGTCATATAGGTAAATAAATTACAAAGTATGTTTTCTATAACTTTGTTTCAAGTTTACGCGTGTACCAAAAAGAACTGCAAACTACGAATAGTATCTTAAATAATGTAATAAAATTTACAGTAGTAAAAAAAGTTTTATTAAACTGTTTTTTTACTTTAAATATAATAAGTAGTTTATATTCAATACCCTATAATTTGACTGAAAATAAATGCCAATGAGTTAGGCTAATGACATACCATGGCGCTGCCTTTTCATTGATATGTAATAATTAGAATAAGTTACCGCTTTTAATAATAAAACAAAATATATATATATATATATAGGATCATAATTTAAGACCGTATAACTTTATAGAGTCAAAGAAACAACTGTGCTAAAAATAATCTAGTAAATTCCAGTTTATATCCACAAAAATAATAATAGGTAGTTCTTGCATAAACCTAAACAATATTAACGTGTAGGTACCTATCTGTTTCTTGTCGTTAAGGATATTTGCATTAACTTACGGAAAATTATTTCAAACATACATTAAATATGTATCATAAATAGGTACGTTAAATACAATGTTTTAATTGCCGTAATTGAAGTTCATGTGTTTTACTGTATGGCAGTAAACCACATGGTTATGAATTGCCATGCCAAATAGATCTATGCTAATGCATTAAAAGTGCGGACAGATAAAAGGAAAAATATCGCGGAAACATACGAAATATTAGTTTTGTAAAATAGTCTAATTATGATATATTCGTTACGCCATTGAGTAAATGCGACGAGCTGAATAAATGATTTAACTTTACATAATTCAATAATTATACAGACGAATACTTAAGTAAAATGTAGGGGAATATATTTGAACTCGACAAAGGTACGATATTGTGGTCGAATAGACTCAGTGTCGCCGCTTTGAAACCGATTTCCTATTCATATAATTCACCGCTTATAATGCGGTAGGCTTTGAAACACATATTTTCATCCCGGATGAAGGAGTCGTATTTTTAAGTAGTAAAAAGCTTATTAAGTATATCAGAAATCTGCAATAGTTCAAACTATTACTAGTATGAACGTATTAGTAGATACTAAACGTAGTATTCATTTATTTTATTTAAATCTTAACATCCTTTTCCCGAAGGGGTAGGCAGAGACTACAGATCTTCACTTGCTACAGTCCTGACATACCCTCTATCGCTTCATCCACTTTCATGACATTAACCATGCATGCTTGTCTGTTATGGGTACTTTTAACTTCTACCTTCTCCAGTATGTCCAACCCGACTTCACCATTTACGGTTGCCTTGTATATCCTATTTGGAAACTCTTTCTCATTCATCCGTTCTACATGGCCAAGCCACCGAAGCATTCCCTTTCATATCTTCGTCCCTACGAAGGTATCTTACTATTACTTATTGTATCACGCAATGTTACACCACGCGTACTTCTTAACGCTCTTGATTCCACGGCATTTATTCTGCTTTCATTCCTTCTCTGGCACACCCAACATTCAACATTCACTACGTCACTACTTAACGTCGGGATAGGCACTCCCTTATGTACGGCCAGTCGAGCCTCGTTTGAGATTTATTGGCTATAGATAAAGGAATGCAACGTTCCATTTAATCTATTCCCAGCATTCACTAGTCCTTCTATATAATCGTCAGACTGTCCACTCCACTTGTTCCACTTTTTCTCCATCTATCAGATAACCGCACCTCACCGCATATTGACACCTCTTTCAAATACCATAGTACATTCAGCAATAACCAAGGGTACTGAAAAAATAAAGTTTCCAAAGCCTCAGTATGAAAACTTATACTATGTTTTATTTACTATATAACGATTTTATTCAAAATTCAAAAATCATTTAATCATATGGGTAACACATTGTACACTTATGACTTGTCAGCAAAGAAATACATAATATTAATGCTTCTAATTTTACATTTAGTGCCAGTTCTCAAATCAAGGGCGTAGAACGGAAGAGAAGAACTGGCAATAAACTCTCCGCCACTCTTTTTAATCGCCATGTTTTTGAAGTTATACTTCTTTAGGCGCGTTATGAAAAATTTATGAGAGTGAAATTTTACAATGCGCGCGCACCCGTGACACAAAATTAGGAGTGTGATTATAGCGTGCGCGAGCGAGATAGGAATAAGACAATCTACAAGTAAAAAGAAATAGAATATGCGTGAAGTTCGTATGCCAACAATTTTGAATGACCATAATGACATTTGTCATTTACCTTTTAAACAAATAAAGGAGTTTTAATTATTTTTTCAAAGAAATTTAGCGATGCTTTTTGAATTATAATCAGAAGTGATTTAAATTGAATATTTAAACCAATACTAATTAATATTTGTGAAAAAACTGTGCTCATCAACCTTCCTAAGTGCTTCAATACAATTGAGGTTAACTATCCGTATGTATTATTATTATCGAGTAATGTTTTGATTAAAAAAATTACCACATTGTTTAATCAAAACATGTAATTTTTCTGATTTTATCTAGCAAATATAAGGAAAAGAGACAAAAAACAATTGATGAATCAGTGTAACTGCACTAAATTGAATACAAAAAAAGAGTTTTCATCTTATCGCTGTGAAACATCAAAAACTGGAGGTGGAACAAAGCCAAACTATTTTTAATATTGCCAAAGAAGTATAACTTCTTACGCGCGTACATAAGTACACGGACCCTTTTTTTTACACAACGTTTGTAAGGAGCTGCAACCATTAAACCATTGTAAATTATTGCTTCTAAGCCTGTTGGCCTAAATCCTGCTGGTGTATAACCCGACGGCGTAGGCTTGTTTTCCGATGATAGGCAAACGCCATGGGTAAAATATGAACGGAGCAGACCGCAGACGCATAAATATATCGTAAGAGGACGTTGCGATATAGAAATTTATTTAATAGGCTTTAATAACATATATACCTATACAAGAGCAAACTGTTGTTGATACTGCGAATATTTTTATGATTTTTTACAGAAGTATTTACTGTATATTACGTTTGCAATTATTCTTTCTCAAATACTAGTAGCTAATAACAATCGCTGTCCTAATAAGGATCACAAGTAGTGCTGGGTTACCTAATACCACGTGTTAACAGCACAATTTTGGCGTTATACTCTGAAAACTACCTATTGTTTTAAAATATTTGTTCGTTCTTAATTGTTGTATTGACAAATTGCGATTGTACGAATCATAGTTTTATTTATAGATATGTTTATGATATTTATTAGGTTGTGTCTCCAATGCTAATATTTTCTGTCAACTAAAGTAGAAATATAATGCTGATACATTCAGCTTTAGTCTCGTTAACAAAAATATCATGTTACGAGAATATAAATAATATAAAAATTTATTGGTAACTAATTATGCTAAAGGGTAGTGAAGTGTTTATAAAGAACTAACCGCTTTAAGAAATTATAACAGGGGTTTGCCACTCATAAATAAAAATAATACCTAATGTTTTATTTCGATTCTCAAATTACCCAACTTAATTAATTATACGCATGTTTTGGATACCAGCATTGCATACCTTTGCGGATGACGCGGATTTCAGTCCGATTGAAAATACCAGATTTTGTACGTCTTACTCAATTTTACACTACTAAATATTACACTATGTGTTTTTAACATTCAGTAAAAGCGCTATAGCGAAAGCGAAAGCAAAATAATTAATAGCAAATATACGGCGCCGCTTCAATAAAATATTTATTAAGATCAATTTTTTGAATTTTATATTTTAATAATTTATAAACTTACAGCTTTTGTCCTAATGCACTATTGTAAAGCACTAATAAAAAACACAAAAATATATTTCCGATCATGATTGTTTCATTACGTCGTAATGCGCACGCGACGATAGTGCGCTCCGCTTGATCGATTAACCACAACTAGAGGATAGAGGCTGTTGATAATAAGAAGGCTGCGACTGTTTACGATGCGTATTGTTTTATGAATGGAATCAAGGAAAAACCAGTCGATAGCCTTTTACTTTTCCCTCTCATAAGCTAAAGCTTGGAAATCGTGAAGACCAAGGTTTTCTAAAAGGTAAACTCCATCTGCTCCGAGGTATTGTTTATTATTATTGGATTTCATTTATACGTATAAAAAATGAAAGGATGTTTCAAATTCAAATTTTTTCAGTCTCAAATCAGGCTAAATATATTATATAATATCAACAGAGAAATTTATATAAGAATAATTATTGTTATGATGATCTCGCTCGCTATGTTCCCTCTTCTTCTATCTTACCTCAAAACAATTCTCTTTTATCTGGGAAAAATGCATCCATGTTTTTGGTAAATCATAAAAACATTAAAGTGTATATAGGGCCATAGGCCCAACAGCAGACGGGGCGGGACGGCTGACTCATCTCGCCCGCAGTTTCACTTCGACGCCGCGACTCTGTCCCGCTTGCTTTAGACACTCTTTTTTTTAAAACTGAGAAGTCTTTCTTTCTTTATTATGGGAGATTGTATTTAAAAATTAATAACAAGGTAACAATATTTTATTTTGACAAGTTTAGTTCTTAATGCAATGTGGTTGCATACAATTAACTGTGTAAGATATGAAATTAAGATCCTGCAATAGATTTGTTAATCTCTCAAAATGTCTTTCAGTATATGGCAATGCCCCTTCAATAAAACGCGCAAGTGAGGGCACTTGTAACTGCCCAGATATTATTTCTGGAGCTAAAATGTTAAAAACTAGTTGTGCAGCATGGCAATTTTTTGTGTTGGTATTCCATTCCGCTGCAAATTTTAACAATGTTTCTTTTTGGGTATTATTAATTTCTTTTAATGTCTGGGACAATTTATCTGAACCAAACTTTAGAACTTCATTAACTATTTTCAATACATGCAATGGTCTATCCATTCTTATTGCTAATTTAAGTGCTTTCACAAGCTTTTTGTCATGTAATAAATTCATTAACTCCTGTTCTTGCAAAATTAACTCCTCTCTTTCCTTTAGCATTTTCTCCCTCCTTTCTGCTGAGACATCTTTTAAGGTAACTAATTTTGAATCCGATCCTCCTGTTATTACCAAGGATTCATTATTACTAACAGCCAAAGACCAAACTTTACCATCATGGTTATCTAATGACATTTTACACTCAGAAGTTTTTATGGTCCACAATTTTAAGAGTCCATCAGCACCAGTGGACAAGATCTGCTGTCCCTTACTTAAAAATTCAATCTTTAAAACCGAACTCTCATGACCCTCAAAAGTTTTTAAGCAACTCAAGTCTGCAATGGACCACAATTTTATAGAACTATCAGCAGACGATGTCAAAACCACCTGATCCACTGGTGAAAATTTAACACACCACACCCCCCTCCTGTGGCCCTTTAATGTTCCTAGCATTGTTAAATCCTCAGTCCACAGTTTTGCTGTCTTGTCTTGAGAGCCAGTACCAACAATTTTATCGTTGGGTGAAACAGCCACACAATTGATATCCATATTGTGAGCTAGTTCAGTATGACTAGACTGTAATGTCTGTTCAATTTGATCAGTATTCATTGGTACTGCCCATACTTTAAGACAGTTATCTTGACTGACAGATGTAAAAAAGCTGCAGGTTATCTGAGATGTGCAAACAGCCCCAACTGAACCAGTGTGTCTTTTACCAACTCCAAAACATTTGATTTCATTTAATTCATCTATTTTCCAAATTCTTACACTATTATCTTTACCAGAAGAAATGAAATTTTTTTTGTTTGTAGGAAATTTGGCTAATGCCAAAACAATATCTGTGTGACCTTTAATTAATTTGCAATCCATATTGTCTAAAGTATAATATTTGAGGTCTCTACTATTTGTAGCAACAACAATATGTGTATCATCATTACCTAGAAATATTATATCTAAAACCTCATCTGAAAACCCTGTTATTTGTTTCATGCAATTAAATGTTTCCAAATCATGTATAATAATATTATGGTCAGCAGTAATCACAGATAGCATATTTCTTGCTTCATTAAATAATAAATGCATGACTGCTAATCCACTTTCATCTGATGCAGGCGAAACTAAACTGTTACTTTGTTCATACATCAACCTACTCATTTCAATGTTCCAAATTTTTATAAGCCCTTTTTCTCCTGCACAGGCAACATAGATTCCTTGAGTGTCAACTTTCTTTGTAAAATTAGGAATTTTAAAAGTTTGTGGTAGCAAGATCATTGTTTCAATACATTCATAAACAGGTAACACTCTAATAGATTTTCCCTCAGATATTTTCCATAATATAAGCACTCTGTCTCTTCCTGAACTGACCATATAATTACCATCAAAAGTAAATTGAATAGAAGTTACTTTACTGAAATGACCTGAGTAAATATTGCTTTCTTTTCCTGTTTTCGCATCCCAGGACCTTATTTTAGTGTCATCTGCTGCACCAAATATTAACTGCTTTGAGGGATCTGGGTGGTACTTTAACACACTAAACACACCCATAGCACCTTTTAAACTACTGGTACAAGTATAATGAACTAGATCCCAAAGTCGTATGTTACCATCTGAACTTGCTGAAGCTATATTTATATCCTCCATGTCATATGCCAGCTTTGCTACCGCACCTTTGTGTCCTGATCTCCAAGATTTTTGTAATATTCCTGTTGCACTGTCCCATAGTTTAATTAGGCCACTTTTGTGTGCAGTTACTACCGTTTTATTGTCATGTGATAGTTGAAAAGTATATATTACATCATTCTCATCACTGTCTTCTCCAGAAGCTCCGATTGTTATTGTATTACAAAGAGTATTTAAATCAACAAACTTTATAATATCATCACATTGACACAAAAAGTTAGCACCATCTCTCGTCCATTGGATATCTCCACCGGTATAGAATGCTTCGTACTCGGACGTTTTTTCATATCTGTAATTTATAATAAAGAAACTTTAGGACCTATTGTTTATAACTTGTGATTACTTACTTAACTACTTTTTATTATAACTTTTTAGTACGTAAAACATCCATAGAAATTTAAGTACGCTTACTTAAAAACCTGAAACCTGAATGTCGACTATTATTAACTTACATTTCTTTCATTGAAACTGCCATATTAGGCCTTTAAAAATTATTAAAACAATATTTAGTAGGCTAAGCTGAAGGTCTTTCAGCAAAATACTTTTATGAAAACACAAACGCACGTGGATAACTGGATAGTCTACATCATGTTCATGACGTTGACAATTAGCATTTATTTTTACTTGATAGTTGAAACTGTCATTAAAAGTATAAGGTTTGGCTCGTATTAAAAATATATATATATATACCCTCATTTAATGCTTGCGGCTAAATATAATAAAAAAATTCAAATAGGTAACAAACCTATAAACATAATATATTGAAAAAAAAAATTCTGAATTAATATGTACTACCAGTTCTTATATGAAGGGCTTAGACAGAACTGATGAGAAGAACAGATATAACTGTCACTCTTCATCAAGATCATCAAGTTTTTTGTTCTGCAAGATGCTTGTAAGAAGGTGTAACCTCATGATCCACATCACATGGAATAGATTTTGTAGCTGGCGACACCACTTCCATTTAACGCTTCTAACAACACAACTATATTTGAGAAAAAACACTCATGCTTGATCTCAATCTAGGACACTTGCATAAGTAATCATTTAAGACCTGGCCCTTGCAGCATATTGAACATTTCTTTAGCAATTCTGTTAGGAAAACCGTAAAACGTTTCATAATAATACATAATGTATACTTTCTTGCAACGTCTAAAACTTTTAGGATCCAAGATGTTCATTCTAGATAGAGAGTGGGAGATAAGGTGAGTCTAGAATATCTTGCTAAGTTTGAAAAGAATCATAGCATTCAAAAGATCTTTATAACAATGGAGTGGTTTTAAATTGTAGTGCTGTAGACCTAATCGTTTCCCAACCTTTTATTAACTACTAATATTATTATTTAATTATATTCTCCCTCTCCCTATCTGTGTGCAAACACTACTAAACCTAAGGCATGCTTAGAATACTCATTCTCAGACTTAGCACTTCAGCAAAATTGTAATACACATATTACAATTTTATTTCATTAAACTGTTTCAGGAGGTTTTACGAGTTAGTTTTACGCGTTAAATAATTTGTGTAGTGATTTTATCTTTATAACAATTTTACTTATTTAGTTTTCGGTTTAATTTCAGAGCCCTTAATAGTATTATTTACACGTTATTGTTTAGTTTTTGTCTCGTCTGTATAATATATTACTCGTATGAACACGTTGCATGCAAGTTAACTATATCAAAAAAATATCGGTGGTATCTCCTTAAGATTCCATTCTAGGATGAACCAGCGAAAAGAGGAAGTACAAAAAAAAATATTATGCAGCTTCGTCTAATATTTGTTTCAAAATATTGAAAACCAGGGAACATTTTCAAAATTAAAAATACATCGAAGCCAACATCGACGCGCCTGTTAGTCTGTTAAGATAGTGATTTTGGCTGCTAACTGCTTAAGCCGTGCTGAGGTTATGTTCGATTGTTCTGTCCCATCCAGGACCAATATTGTTGGATGAGCATTGATAATTTTTTCTGTGTCTTGGTGTAATTTATGTATAATATGTATCAAGCAAATATAAGTATGTTTATCAGCAGTCTGGTTATCATAGCACAGGCCCTGCATAGTTAGGAATCAGAGGTTCAATTGTGACTTGTGAGATGTGTGAAGTAGAGTTATTATTGTTATGTACCTACAACTATATTCAGGTTTTTAAAAAGTACTCGAAACCTTCAGGTATCGTATAGTATTCAGAGTAAATTATCGAGTCTTTTGTAATTTTGGTTATCGCAAGATAAATTATCGTAACATCAAGTATCAATCGAATATTAAGTATTTTTACAATACAATTCTTAGAGTAGTGCTACTTTCTTCAGTACCCTTAAATAAACCTACCCACAAACATCTCCCCTGGACATCTCGATTCCCCTTAATTTGGGGGATAATGCAATACGCTCTGTATTTTGTGTCGTATTATTTTTATTTTATTTATAAAGGTAGAATTTTTACAATAAACCACAGATGATCTATACTCACTCGACATAGGCCATTATCTTTGACGTAGATACTAGATATTAAAAAAAATGGATTGCTTTTTAAATAAAAACAGCTGATAGATATTTCATTAGAAATATAAACAGGTACTTGCTACTTGGAAGTAATCAATGTGCGGAAGCTAAAACGAACAATACAATGTTTTTTCCGAGACATTTAAACACAATTAAAAGATTATTAACAACAGTTACTAAAAATGTCGCTAATCCCCATGAAAATTTTGACCATGTATTTTCTTTTCCCTCCATGGGCTATTTCGCTTTATTAAATAGATTAAAGATATATCATGTTTTCGGTTCTTGTATAATTTTACCTAGTGTTGGATTAATGGAATTTTTATCCGTAATGCCTGAACAGAGTTTTTTTGCAGGAAGTTACATAGGTTAGTTACATTTTATAGGCTATTTTGTTCTCGTGTTCTTTTTATGATACAGCTAAACCTTTTTCTAGGTGTAACTGGTGGGATTGTGCTTTCAGCAGTTACATATCCATTTAGAAACCTTATAGGACATATATACATAAGTGAAGATAACAGCTTAATTAAAATATCATCTGTAGACTTTTATGGGAAAAGAATAGATAGAATTATTAAGGCAGAAGAATGGATACCATTGTTAGAAATGCAACCAAAAACTAGTGATGCATTTTATTTATCACCACAATTAACAGATGGCACAAAGTATAAATTGTTAATAAAATTTGGCACTATTAAGAATGCCAAAAAAATGGGTCAAGTTTTGGAATGATTATATAATTACAAAGAGCTCTAACTTGTAGTGCTACGGCTCTCAATATTTTATAAGAATCTTTAAATGAGTACACAAACAATAAAGTAATACTGTTATAGTTGTGTAAATGGATTTAACTTGTCATTTTAAAGATTTAAGTTATATAATAATAATCTTGTATATCTTTTTCTGTATGATTTAGTAGATATAAACTAGTCAAAAATATATTGGTAGTAAAAAGAAACAAATTTTTTATTAATGTATTCATTCTATTCTTAATTAAATATTTCACAGTGTATTAAAACAATAAAATATTCACATAAAGTATTCATCAGTTTGCATTTTAGAATTCTAATAATTTTTTAAGTAGGTAAATATTTGAGATTGATTGCTGGCATAAACTTATTGAAATATGTAAAAATTAATACAGGATTTGGATATTGTTGTTCCTCAACAAAAGCTCAATATCTTTAGATTACTACACAAAGTATAAGTGAATAAATAAATATATTACCAAAAATGGTTCTGGAATAATACTTGCTTTTGTATCAAATTGAATGCACATAACTATTTCATTAATGCATAGTTTTTTTCCTCAATTTTTAGTTAATTACTTGGAAATAAAAAATTACTCAAATTGAACAATAATATTATGTTCTACGATTTTTTTTTGTGTATATTAAATTGGTGAAACATGACTTACCATCATAGTCATAATTTAATAGTGAAAAAAATCTGAATCTGCTTATCTGAATCTACATTCATAAAATATCAATATTATTTTATGAATGTTGCTCTGTGCAACAACCCAAAACAACTGTTTTGCCCAGCATCAATCTATGACCTCTGGGTTATAGACCATATGTATTAACCACTAAGCCACAGAGTAGGTAATAATGACCAAATCCATACAGAGCTATGTTATAGGTTTACAAGAGTGTGACCTATAATAAATGTCCTAAAGCATAATTTTAAGTATGAAATGTCTGTACAATTGATTTTATATTAAATTTATACCTTAATTGAAATCTGCATTACACTCCACAAACAGTTTGCTCATAATTTATAACAAACACTTAAAACAATCTTATATTTACACTACAATTCTTTTATATATAAATTAATTTTGAAATATAGTTTGCAAGTGCTGTGTTTTGCATTAATGTTGATAAATTTTCTACAACTCCAGTGATTAATCTACAATTAAAATGGTATAAAATAGTGAAATTTGAACTCTGCTTCTATTTAATGTTAGGCATGCTAACCTTATTATTACTTATAATATGAACCTTATAATAAATGTCTAAATTTTGATCAGTGATTTATAAAATAATCGGCATTCTTGAGCCACCACTGAGAAGCAAGTTTAAGGTAAAGATATATCCAACATTTAACACATTAGAGTAAAACATACATAATTGTATGTATGGATTTCGCAGTATTAAACTTTGAATGTCATTTTAGGGTCAAATTCGAGACTTATCGTGAAGGTTTTACTCTCATATGTCCAACTCAAATTTGACAAACAGGAGTTATACTGTACTTGTTTCTCTAATAATCAAGTATAAGCTCTATGCGCGTTAACGGACAGAGCATTATACTAAATATTCATTCTCGCGCTTTGGTATCACTGAATAATAAAAATGACATGTTGTTTACATAAAATAATTAGCATTCTACATATTTTTGATTTATTTAAACCCACTTTATTTATTGGCGAAAGTAGTCGCGTGGTATTAAAAAAAATCTATTGAATATTAATTAATCAATCCAGGCCTGTGCTGGCTGATCAGTGGTAAATGGGCTAACTCCATTCCGTTCCATGGCATCAAGTATTTCACATACATAGGCAGCAACGTCGGCCCGGCTCTGTTCTATGCCTTTTATAAATGGATGCTCTAACAAACGATTATATTTGGGCCGTTGCGTTTCTTCCTTTATTAGGCTGAAAGAAACAGGTTATTATTTATTTTGGACAGTTAGCACCAAATCATGGTTGCCATATTTTAAGCCAACCAAGAAAAGAACCAAGAAACATTTAGACATTATCAAGGCCAGTTTATATGTTTATCTGAAATAATTTTAATCAAATCAATTAATAATTTATTATCTAGTTATATAACTTACCAAGTATTGACAAAATTGATGAAATTGCTTGAGAAGATATTATTCTTATTGGTGAGACGTGGTGGGTCACCTTGAACCACTTGTTGAAGCTGTTCAAAGACTGATCCCCATCGGGGGTAAGGGAAGGCACCAGTCGCGACCTCCATTAATGTTATACCCAAAGACCAGACATCAGATCGCACATCGTAGCCCCTAGCGCGCCCTGGATCTATCCTTTCAGGCTGTAAAGTTAAAAATATTTATTCTAAATATATACATTTGGTTTACAGAGATATATAAAATTTAGAAAATAATATCAAAGGCAATTTTTTTACAAAGACGGCAAGTTAAAATACTATCTGCCATAGTTTAGTTAACTACGGAATGTGTGCTTTAATAATTACAATGCTAGAGTAAAATGTTGTAGTATTAAAAATATGAAACAGTTAAATATAAATTGAGTCTCACCGCCATATAGGGCCTGCAACCAGCATCGCGAGTACGCGCAATTGAGTCGACCAATTTCCCAGATATACCAAAGTCACATAGTTTTATGTTACCTCTTCTATCTAGTAAAATGTTTGATGGTTTTACATCCCTAAAAACAGTTATTGAATTGAATAAATATACAAAAATATTATGTTTTTTAAAGAAGCCATCTTAAAATATATGATATAAACTAGTGGTTCATCTCAATATAATAATACCCCATGAAAATAAGATTAGTATGTATGTATATAATTGTAGAGTAAGGAAACTGTTAGCAATGTTTTCTTTTCAATTGGTTGATATGCTATTTGTATTTAATTACTTGATTTGTGAAAGAGAACGGGACAAAGACGAGTTTCTTGCAGATAAAGTGACAAATGCTGCAAAATATATAAAATTAATTTAAAACAGCATATATTTATAACTTTTTTAACAAGACAAGTAATGAGTAGAAAACCATTTTATTTTTATCAATATATGGGTTTTTAAAATTCAGTTTCACTTGAAAGGAAATGCCTCCATAAGAAAGTCTCAAAGAAATGATTATTACTAAACATTGAAATTGTATGCAATATTGTATATTAAATTTCACTAACCTGTGAATAATTTTTAACTTTTCTTTTAAATAATTTAATGCTTTTACAGTGGCAAGAGTAATTTTTGCCAATATTGTCTCTGGCATTCGAGTTTGCATCCTTTCACATATAAACTTGTAGAATTTGTCTAATGATGTATCCATTAACTCCATGCATATCCAGCAGTCACCCTAAAATTATGCAAAGTCAAAAATATAATGATTTTTTTCAAATTTCATAAAGTTCAAATGATGTGTGGGCTTTTAAGGAAACTAAAAAAGGATAACAGCAGAAATTATAATTATGTTTATATGTTTCAGTTACAAACAAACCAATGATTGTGAGATATCCCAAAACTTGCAGTGTTCTGTGTACAAGTATATCCTAGTAACCTTAGATTATAAAAATAAGGACATAGTTATTCTAATTATACACTTACTTCTTTAAATAGTGCTCCATAGAACTGTACAATATAAAGACATTCATTACTCTTCATGACAACTTCAAGATCCATTAATAATTGTTTCTGCTCCTTCTCATCAACAGTTGAGCGAATTCTTTTCACTGCCATTACTTTGCCTGACCTAGAAAATATGTAAAACCAGTGAAATTTAATTCTCACTAGTGTGTTTACATACATAAGGTAATAGACCTACGGGCCAACCAATAAAAACATGTTTGTTTATTGATTAATAACAATATGTAAAAAAAATACTTTTAGTTTAGGTACAAAAAGGTTTTGTTTTATTTATTTTATAACCATATGAATCATATGAAATTTATACAATATTTATTTAAATACTCTATTAACTTTAGAGTAGTTTACCACAAAATAAGGCTTTTGTATAGCATAAATAAAAAAAATATTATAAAGACATACTTTCTGTGAACCATTTTGTTAACTGCTCCAAATGCACCTCTGCCTATTTCTCCTAGATCCTGTAAATCATCTGAGGTGAAGTCATATACTTCAGTTGCAGACAGCTGCAACTTCCCTGATGATTGCATTGATGGATATATTCTACACCTATCTCTGAAAATTTTTTAAATCCATATTTTAATAATAATTATTATTTAAAATGTGTTCATTAAACAGCAAAATTTAAATAAGTTATAAAAATATTGAAATTACACTAAATGTATTACCTGGTATTATCTGGAAGCACATCCCTTATTGTTCTTGATGGCATTCGCGATCTTTGTGGCGGCGTTGAAGTAAATGGCATAAAAGCCGCATTATCACCGGATGGTCCTCCTTCAAGTTGCAAATTTAGTATTTTACGTTTCTCAGTTGGCAATAAATTCAAATCTGGCTTCGGCATTGATGGCCTGCTAGGTCCTACAAAAAAACATGGTTAATTATACCCAAGTAGCAATCAGCTGTTTATATGCTAATCAATTTTTCTACCTTGATTTGACGGCACTTCGCCATTCTTCGACATTTTTAGTCAATAATACAAGCCTTCTCGTAAAAATCCTATGTCTTTCCAAAAGCAAGCTTCAATCTCAGGCACTCCATCTGAATCTTACTTTATTTTACGTATGTGCTTGAAATATTACTGTATCAATAGTGATAAATTGTAGTGTAACATTTTAATCCTTACATTGATAACCAGAGTTTTGAAAAGGCAGTTTAGGATTATTGCAATATGATATGTGTAAAAGCACTACATAAACGAAAAGATGATTTATAGGTTGATAGATATTTATAATACAAGATTATAAATTAAGAATATTTCAATAATTCACGAAACTATTAAAAACACGCAAACGGCAAAACATCGATGTGCGATGTCTTGCATCTTCAATCTTGATTATCGATGGTTTAGTTTGGCAAATAACATTAACACAGAACTATAGGTCTACCAGAATCTGATGGCAAAAAAAAAGTTTAAAAATTAGCGATTTTCATATGGCAATAAAAGAAAAATTTCATCTGTCAACTGAAATTTTGAGGAATTGTTTTTGGTTTGGCTTCAAATTTCCTTTAAAAAGTGATGAAAATGTCGAAGAAACCTCTTCAATCGCAAGCAAGACAAATTGTTTTCAATGTTTATCAAAGAATACTTGGTCAACAAGATGCAGAACATACACAATCATCGATATTGAGCCATGTGCAAGCGTTGACTGATTAGTAGGAGTGACACGTCTTGATACTTTGGTTTATGGGATTTTTCGTGTGTATTATATTATGTACTTATACTAAACTTTGGTTTATTTCAGGGGTTTCTTATACTACAAATAAACTTGGATAGTTTTGATTTAGAATTGATCAGAAACAAGATAAATGAGTTTTACACTGTTTCTTTCTCTCAAATAGGGATCGATGAATGGCTAAAATCTTGTGAACAAGATCGGTTAATTGAGATGCAGGAGGAAAGGTTTATCATAAATACTGCGTTGAAGACGTTTTTATGGATGTGCAGTATTTGGAACCATTTTCAAGTTCTTAATTAATTAATAAACTCATGAAAAGAGTAATTTGAGTTTTCATCTAAATTTCAAACCCCACATTCGCCACATTTTCAAAAATTATCCTTGTTCATTGGAGAAATTTTTATTTTTACATGTATCACACACAGAATCAGCCGCTATAAGGAAAAAAAAATATCAAAACGTTTTACTCCAATTTCCCCAGTATTGCTAGCGTAAATTTCTTTTTTCCCTTTTTGCCATCAGATCAGACCTATACTAAAAAATTTCACAGAGGAAAACATTTACACCGCGCCAGTGTACTAGTTTATAAAGGCGGTATGGTCGAATTAGCTTAGCTTACCCTTCGGTCGATAAAATTGTTTGGGATAAATTAAATATAATAAAGGGATTAAATTTAACTATTGCCATAATATTAAAAAAATCGGTTGTCTGTAATCGGTTACTACATAGTTGAACGTGACAACGTCATAAAAAATATGTTGGGGTTTTTCGTGTTCAAAAAAAAATTAAATTTTATTTGTTTGATAGTATTTTTATGGATATAGAGAAGGAGGTAAATGGAAATCACAATTGAATTGCTCTCTTTTTTTTTTTCTTTTATATTTTTTTTTTTTTTTTTTTTTTTTATCCCCCCCCCCATGGTACCCCCCCCCCCCAAGAAGCAACCCCCCCCAAGGGGGGAACCCCCCCAAAGGGGGGAACCCCCCATTAATTCTTTTTTTTCGTGCGTGCAGCCGGCTCCATCGAATTATAAGACGTTGGCACGTCAAAAAATTAAATATTAACATGTTGGCGTAATTTTTTAAAGCACAATTTCGGCACACAAAATCGTGTCACACCTGGCAAATAATGAGAATAAAATATGGATTTTGCAATGACTCGAAATCGGTCAGGATAGACAAAAAGTTAAAATTAAAATTTCTAGATCTTTTTATAGTTGGGGAGACCATGCAGAAATTTCGGGATTTACTAAAGCGTGGCAGATTAGTATACAGATGGATACTTTCTACCAGGTTAAGTACCTCCACCAATTAATATGAGCACCATGTATATATCCGCCCGTCAAGTCCGACTGACAATTTTCAAGTGACGTAAAGAAAGGGGAGGGCTAAAAGGTTGTAAAAAAAACGTTATCTCGGCATTCTCGAGCGTGGATGATTTTTTTTTTATTTTGAAGGAAATAATTCAAGGAAGACGAAAAATATATAATCTGACGAATTCCACAAGCCGAAATAATAAAACTTCGTCGATAAACTTTAATACGTGCAGCTACATGATGCCTATATTCACCTCTCCGAGGTTGTATTACTCTCTCACTTTTTCTCTATTACTCTCTAACTCCATCCTCACTCTGGTGTCTGTTGCCTTCATTACACCTAATCACATCATAGAGTTAGATTCAATGAACAACATACACTTTTTTTATGCTATTTTCTGAGCTTCTCAATCAATTATACAATGATTTAAATTTATATTTAAATTATTTGATAAGGCGAATTCCTTCAAATACTTAATTGTCAGATTATGAGACAGCACAACTAGGACATAAACCATTTAAGTATATCTTAATCGAACGCACTTCATTATTTCAAAATGGTGATTTTTTTGGTAAAATCTAATTATGGCCGCGAGTTTGCGTCACATCCAAATCGTCAGATTATTAGATGAGAGCTTTTTTTAGGTTCACCTAACATCCCCTTAGAAACTTTGACGCGCTCGATCAAATTTTTTTCTTCTCATTATCAACCCTTACGTACGGCCACCCCCATCATGCAAATAATCAGATTAACATACGTACATTATTACGTAGGAGATGGATGCTATCATTATCTGATGCGCTCGAGTATGTCCACGCAACAGTTTTTTTACATTTTTGAAAGTTTATAGCCGCTCCCCCCACCGATGAAAAGGTATACGTACATTATATAACATTTTTTTGATAATAAAACAATTTTTTACCGGATTGAAGTTATGTATTTACAATTATTTTTCATAATTTTAAATTTAACCGACGTTTCACGTGTGTTACAGCGTGCGTGGTCACGGTGACTTTTAACATTTTTTCTTTTTATTATAATATAAGCTTAGCATCTCAACAGGTCTCTATTACGCTCTAGAAAATCCCCATTTAGCATCGAACAAGCGTATTTGATTTATATTTTTTTAAAATTGCTTAAAAACTAAATAAAAAATTGTATAGTATATTTCGGCAGGTGAAATTTTTTCTATATAATTTAGCTACACACCGAATTGGAGGGTTGAAGTTTTCTCCCGTACTAACATACATCTGTCACTTCATCCACTTTCATGATCATGAAATTCACCAAGCATGCTCGTTGGTTATGGGAACTTTCGATCTGTTTCTCTTCTAGTATGTCGTGGTTTTAGTCCAGGTAGTTCACACATACAAGCCGTCGGAAATATCTGCGAACCTCGCTGGAATGCGCTTCCCCTGGCGCCCCGCACCCCGCCCCGTTTTCGCCTATCCAGTACCGTTGCCAACGCAATCGCCGACGCCGCACGTGTATTATTCTTGCTTTCGTAATCGCATTTTAGTGTTTATTGTTTCTCTGTTTGGTGAAATATTACATAAACTACCTATTTAGTGCTGTATGTAAGATGGGTAGGTACGAGTATCAATAAAAATAAGTACACAAATAAAATATTTTTTATTTTTACATCTTCAATTTTTTTGCTATCTCTCCAGTTTGTATGACGTCATTAAGCCAGGTTCGCAGATATTTCCGACGACTTGTACTTCTTACGCTCACAATTTATTGTACTTTCATTTTATATAATTATATAACAATACAAATACCCATTTACTCGATTTAAGCAGTTATTCATCTTTCTATTCTGAGTAAACAAACAGCCAAAGTACACCAACCTCTCCACTTGTTCTCCTTCTACAGAGTATCACATACATTCCTATTTACTCTACCTACAAAAAACAGATTTTGTTTTTGTATTATTAATATGCAAAGCTGCATGCTGAAATTGTGATTAAAAATTTTATTTCAATTTTCTCTAAGGCAGGGGATTTGGATAATTAGGATTTTACTAATTCCCTCTTAATCTAATTTTCTTCATGGGATATGATTATTATAGCATATTGAATAATGAAGTGCAGATGATAGATGGGTATCCAAAATAAGTGGTTTTATAGTAATGTTTGGGCCTTAACATACTCGGTTTAATATTTATATGAAACAAGCACATAGTGCACAGAAAAAGGTCAAAATTATTAGATTTTTATAGTGTGATTGTAATATTAATTTAACCTAAGTTTAAATGCTTTAATATTAAATATATAACAATCAAAAGTAAAAAATGTGTACAGTAAAATATTTCTATAATAAATTTGTAAATGAAAAATACATTATGTATATTGTATTGCCTTTTGTATAATAAACTACCCATCTTTCTTATGTTTTTTTGAAGGTCTTGATTTGGGCTCAGAATGTTTGGTCTCATTGTCTAAGAGTTTAGTTTCTTTTTTAGTTCTGCTTTTTGTAGGAGCCATGCTCAATTCAGCATCATCACCATTTTGACCATTCATTGAATTATTTATTCCTTGAGCATTTACCAATGACTTTTTTGTGGATGTGCCTGGTCCGTCACCAATTTGTTTTTGCATGGGTTTTGTTTTGTCAAAGTTAACATAAGAAACATTCAGAGGGCTTATGTTTTTTGCATCAATTTCCTCCTCCTCTCCATTGACTTCAAAGTTTTTAAACCATCTAAAAACAACATAACATGCAAGGTTAGGTTGAGATAAATTAAAATCAGGTATTTAATTGATACACTTAGTGTTAAGATGCAATGTGAATGGATGTGATCGGTTTTAGTATTCATTATACAAAGCAAAAGTGATTCCTTTCCTTTTTAATTAACAATTTAAATAATTATTGATGCATCAACTAAATAAAGATACGCTTGACATATTTATTTATCTATAATTTTTGTTATCAAATATTTATTGTGGTATTTTTATACCTTTCATCAATTTTTCCTCTAATATATGGAAGAGCACCATATAGGTCCAAAGCAGCTATTTGAAAGATAACTTGCTGGCCCTCTACAATGTTTGTTCCTATCCATTCACTTCCAGGCTCTTCGGTTGGCCGTGGGATAACCACATTAAATACTCTGCAAATTAGGTATAACAAATATATTATTCACTGTATTATTCAACACACTGACCAATTTTATTATTAACAAAGTCTTTAAAATAAGAAGAAAGGTAAAAATCACTTTACCTATGCACTAGTACCCCTAAATGTGTAATATTCTTTTGGTATACAATGCCTCTTAATGTAGCTCCAACATATGGACAAAAAATAAAATAATCTGCTTGTATTTGGAACTGTATATCTGAATTGTCATTCCTGATTGCTCCTACATTTTGTAATATACGTAAATTTTTGTAACTTAATAATATTCCATTAAATCTGAAAAACAATGTTGAATCTTTAACTCAATATAACAGTTACAATAACTAATATTTCATTTTGTTTAATTATTATAATAAAGTATGACATAGCGTCTCCAAATTGTTACTTACTCTTTGTCAAATTTTCCAATTTTATAATCTAAAAGATTTTTTACCGATTCCTTCAAATTACCCAGACACCATGGCTGTAATGGAATATTTTGGGTCACTTTCTTTTCAATTACACAAGAATTTTTATCATTTGCTAGTTTTCGAAGGTCCTTTAGTTCAAATTTTATGATTGATGACATTTTAACATCCAAATAACACAATTTACTAGTAAGTAAATAAAAATCTAAATTATCTTAAAAAAATACAAACAAACATGGTGGCTGACACTGTTCACAGACTATAGTTTTTGTTTTATATAATTTACCATGATGGCACTACCATAGATAGATAAAAAAAGGGTACGTGTACTTATGTACGCGCGTAAGAAGTTATACTTCTTTGGCATTATTAAAAATAGTTTTTGATTGCATGCAAATAATTAATTACAATTAAATAATCAAAGACTGGAAAAGGAGTCATTAAAGTCAATAAAGTTCAGTTTACATTTGAAAAATTAATTAAATAAATATTTATTATTATTCTCTTACATTAAACAAATAAAACAATATTTATCTTTAAAACATTTTTATTTCATTATACTATTTATTTTTAAGTGACTCTAATGTCTTCATCAGAATTTCGGTTTGTAATTTTAAATTAATCATTACTTGGTTGTGCATCTACGAGGCTTCTCCAAAACTACTTGCTTTCTGCAACAAATAAGAGAATATTAATTTAAGCTCTGTCCATGCAAAACTTAAAATTTTTTATAATTCATATTATAAATTTTTTAACATATTTATATTAATATAATTATATAAATGTGTTAATAATATAATTTGTAGCACATGCTACAGACCTGGATAGCAACTTTCTTTTATTCTATTTAGAGATAGAGATAATTTAAATATAATACCGGTGTCTTCCTTGTAGGTTTCTTTGGAGTTGTTTGGGGATTCTTGTTGTTCAGTTCGACATGATTTTCTTTAACCTTTCTTTAATCCTACAAAATAATGAAATTGTTAAGTTATGTTGTCACTGTTGTGCACACCTTTGTTTGGCTTTTTTAGTATTCAAGTTATGTCAAAACTGATTTATTACCTTGTCATTGTTGGCTTTATTTGCTTTTGGGATATCAATTGTTTCCAAAATGATTTTATTTGTAATAACCTGAAATATATAAATAACATCTATTAATTTAAGTATCATGGTGAGTGGTTCGCACTCAGGTATTAAGGTGTATTATACCCACTGTCCATTATAAGTGGGAATGGGCTCACTTCTGGCAGGACAGAGTTTCGGTACTACAAGTGCAACATGGATGTTTTGAGGTATTACAATATCTCTAACTACCCTGTAGGGGAATAAAGTAATGTTGTAAGCATATGCCTATGCTTGAAAGGTTGAACCTTGAACATCACCATACATCATATTTATAATTAACATTCCTACCTCGACACCATCACAATCAAATTCATTGAAATCTACTTCAAACCATTGTGTCTCGAGAAGGTGATGGTGGCTTTGTTCCACCTCCAGTTTTTGATGTTTCACGGCGATAAGATGACAACTCTTTTTTTGTATTCAATTTAGTGCACTTCCACTGATTCATCAATTGTTTTTTGTCTCTTGTCCTTATATTTGCTAGATTAAATCTGATGTTTTGATTAAATAATGTGGTCATTTTTTTGAGATGCAGGTACTTATTAAAATGTTTACTTCTCTGTTATATCGCTCCAAGCCTTCATTTTCTCCTTATTAGTATTCGTGCTTAAATCTTTGTTCTCAATTATTGATATATAGGGTCGTAGAATATTTCTAAAAAGTTGCTGTAACAAACGCAATAAACAAAAGCAATGAATAATGGTTCATGTTTCAGTTTTAATCAACAATAATACTCGATAATACATACGGATAGTTAACCTCAATTGTATTGAAGCACTCAGGAAGGTTAGCACAGTTTTTTCACAAATATTTTATATTATTTCACAAATATTTTGTATAATGAAAATAACTAGGTATATAATTATTAATTTTAAACAATAATTAAAACTCCTATATTTGTTTAAAAGGTAAATGTCATTGTCAGATGTCAATTGTCATGGTCATTCAAAATTCTTGTTAAGCTGCTAAGCTAGAATATGCGTGAAGTTAGCTTCACGCATATTCTATTTCTTTTTACTTGTAGTTTGTGTTATTCCCATCTCGCTCGCGCACGCTATATCACACTGCCAATTTTGTGTCATAGGTGCGCGCGCAATCGTAAAATTTCACTCTCATCAATTTTTCATAACGCGCCTAAAGAAGTACAACTTCAAAAGTAAGCATATTTAAAATGTCTGTATATTGGAATCCCAGGAAAAAGCAGGCATATTTACATTCCATAAACTCGACGACGACGTATTACTGTCGTGTAAACTGTAAATCGACACTATGTCGACGAAGTTTTGTTCTTCGTCCAATTACAACTTGATTACTGCCATCGATGAAAATATTGATGTGTTTAACAACTGTCTGCCATGATGATGATGATATTAATTTATCCCTAATTGAAAAAATAACAGTCGGCGTTTTTCTTACTCTTAATAAGGTTTAAGTTTTCATTTAGTTTTGGTTATTATTGTTATTTTATTTTATGTCTTTTTAGTTTTAGTTATTATTAAAATTTTAATTTTTAGAAATAATTTTTTGTTTTATTTTATTCTTATCTTGTGGTTACTTGTTTTTTCCTTTGATAAATTGCGTATGTTATAATGTATAATTGATAATGTATTGAATATGTATAATTTATAATTGATGTGTATGTGTGTTAACTCTGTGATGTCATATTTTCTTGTATTTTTTAGGCATACACATTGTTTATATTTATTATTATTGTCTAATATTAATTAGTATTGATTTAAATATTCAATTTAAATCACTTCTGATTATAATTCAGAAGCACATATAAAATTCGCACTTGTATAATGAAAACAAAATGAAAACACGTGTTTTAAATGTAGAAACTCAAAGCTTGTGGATAAATATTATAAATATAAATACACAGTGAACAGAGGCGGCGTGCGTGCCAACATGCACCACTAACTTCATTTTGTTAATTTTGTGTCACGGTGCGCGCGCATCGTAAAATTTCACTTTCATCAATTTTTCATAACGCACCTAAAGAAGTATAACTTCCAAAAACATGTTCAGCATCAAACGTGAAAAATAATTCTTGTATAAAAAAGGAGAAATTACCGATCGATAAGGAACACCGATAAAGGACGATAATACTCGAAAAAAATTTAAGTCTGCCAACCAACATAAATTGAAGACTAGACTATCATTGGTTTATCTTCTTTGTACACATAGAATGGAGTTAGGAAATACAGAACTTCGTTTTATATTTTAGAATGTTTATGTATTTCTTTTCTATTCTAAGATAAAAGTAGACATAGGTAGTGGTTTTCTAGATACAAACATAAACTCAAAAAAAAATAGTGGGTTTCATAAATCCATAGTATATAGAATGTCTTCTCTATTCCTAGTGTGTATTATTATTACACTCTTTCTATAAGCTATTGCATAAAATATATCAAGTCAATCATAAATAATTTTAAAGTTCCATCTAACTGAATTTTTAATTATATTATATTATCTATTAGACCACATAAAAACAAATTTTATAAAATTGGGCTCCCGGCTTAGCCTAATTATATCGTCATTATGAATTTAAGCAAGAATATTGCAATAATTTGTAAACTACCGTCGCATTTAACGAAGGTGTAAGTTTAATTTAATTATTATTTAAAATATAGAGCAATAGATAATAAATAATTTTATATTGTTGATATTTTAAAAACATATCTGGTGACAGTACATAATATCTAGTCTATAGGTTATGTTTATATGTAAAGAACTCGTGTAACTATGTTTATCTTATTCGCCATTGAGAAGTATTTGACGTTATTTCAGACGGCCTGCAGTTATAGTTCAAACTCGGTTTTATCCTCGACCTACAAGTTTCCCTGACTATTTTCAAAACCCAATATTTAGGAAGGAAGATCAAGCAACACTTGTTGAAAGTAATGAGCTGAGTAAAATTGCAACAGTACCGGTAAAGCCACCTACTGTCGCAGAAACTTCTTCTGTTTATTATGATCCTCTAGTAAAGTGAGTAAACTGTCTGTAGTAGTAGTAGTTTATATTTTTAAAAGTTGTGCTAACTATATACTACAAGACCCCTTGTGTTCTTTTAATGTAGGGAAAAATCTTTGACTGGTTTATGCAATTGTAGTACTCAAAAATAAAAAGTGTCAACAGTGTTTTTAAAATAATACCTTATGATATGGGTATACTAACTTGTTACTGTACTACACTTGATTCTTTTATTATTTTGAAGTGTCTGCCTTTATGTCAATAATGATTTGATGGCAATTTTTGCCATAGGTCTGAAACTGACTAGTAAGAATGATAACATGCAATATTATAAAAAAAATCAATAACTATTATATTTAAAAATTGTATTCTTTGAAAACCCAAAAAATATAATGTTTTTATAAAATTATACTGATAATTATATTCTAGCAAAGTTATAAACCACGTAATGAAAATGGGAAACAAGAAATTGGCAAGAAGTTTGGTGGAAAAAGCATTTGAAAATATTAAAAGAACACAAATTGAACGCTATCATCTTGCAAAAACACCTGAAGAGAAAGCAAAAATTGAATTAAATCCAAGAGATATCCTGCATAGGGCTGTTGACAATTCTAAACCTCTCCTACAGTTGCTACCCATTAAAAGGGGTGGTATTACCTACCAGGTGACTAGATAATTGTTATTTGTGAGCAAAATAATTCTGCTTTGCTGCTCTGATTTCTAGTAATCATGCTATATGCTATAGTACCTAATGATTAAAAAAGAATATAAATACAGTTACATAGCATACAGACTAATGGAAACAAAATTTAACCTTGACCATATTATTGGTTAGTTTTCCAAAGATAAGTAGGTGATGTGCCTTCTGTATAGCTTATGACATATTCCTAAATATCCATGACAAAAAAGAAGGAACGGCTGTATCTAATTTTATAGTATTGTTCTACAGTTTTTGATACATGATATATATATATATATTTAGTTTTCATACACTATATTTGCTGAAATATTAGCAGTTACTTGAAATTGTTTAATGTTACTTTAAAGGTGCCTGGCCCAATCACTGAAAAGAGATCCTTATTTATGGCCATAAAATGGTTGTTGGAAGCAACAAATGACAAGGAGAGGACTGTTCATTTTCCGGAACAGTTTGCCTGGGAGCTTTTAGATGCTGCAAATAATACAGGAAAAGTTGTGAAAAGGAAACAAGATCTTCACAGATTATGTGAAGCTAACAGAGCCTATGCACATTATAGATGGCAGTAGTTATTTGAATTAATAAATATAGATATTTGTAGTAAGGTTTGTACAGTATATATTATGAAAATAAATTAACTTTTTATTTGTACCTAATAACCTCTTTTGATGACTAAGACCTATGAATCATATGATGGACAAGATTTAGAAATAGTTTTTGATAACTATTCTTATTTCAAATAATATTGATTCGAAATTTATCATGTAAATTTATTGAAATGTCTAATGATTTAATTTTGTATGCAATATAATTTTTCTTTGGTCACTGGTTAAAATTATTTGAATTCAAAATGGTTTGTCTTGTGTGTTTTAAATTTTTGTGTCAGGACTAATTTACAGGGAGTAATGATTAATTCACAATATAAGATTAAATAATTGTCCAATAAAAGTAAATCTTCATTAATTATTGAATAAAAGAAACAATTGTCAATCAAAAAGATATTTAAGATTGGGTTTACCAGCACTACCATGTATTTCTTATACTTACCAAATGGCTATAAATTATAAACACAAATGCATGAATCAATTGTGACCATATTTATTAAGAGATTAATACAGCTTTTGTATAATTCACATTTTACCCATATCCTACAATCACAATGTTAAGAAAGTACATCATTAAGTAAAAAAGGTAAGCTATCTTCGACGTTATTCTGTAAAATATTAAGTTGCTATTTCTGTTTTGTTTAGATTTGACTTCAAGGTTTTTATGCCGATACCCATCAATTTAATTAAGTGTATTTGTCATTATTGATTAATTTGTTTTCAAATATGAATCATAATGAAAATAAACCAACACAAGTATGTATATAAAGTTATGATACAAACTGCGGAAGTATGGTCGTCTGTTGGCACGTTACTCTTTAACAGAACAGTGTATAGTTAAAAAGGTAATCTAAATCTAACCAAACGATCGCATCTACAGCTGTATTATATCATATACATTTTTTCTTATCAGATAATGTGATACGTTTTTGATAAAAGTATTGTACAAATGCGCAAAATTGGGCTATATGTAATCTTAAACAAAATAATTTCCTCTCAGTTTACGTTACTATTCTTGTTATATATAGGTCTTGCGTTACCATTACCGTGCAGACGATGCTTAAAATCAATTTAGCATGTTGTGGTCTCGGCCACACACAATAAATTACAAGTTCCTTATCTAATTGAAAATATTTAGCTGCTCCTGTACCGAGACTTTGAACGCTATTAAATAATAATAACAATATAGCTTTATTTTATTCTATAAAAGTACTAACACATACTCGCCACAATACATTAACTTAGTAATAAAAAAGAGTTGTATTTTTATTTATTTGAACACCGCACTGGTGGCCAAGGCATTCCACAATTTTTTCTATGTCCAGCCATCTTTCGAAGGTATAATACTTACTCTTATACTTAGTTTTAATATTTATGCTCAATCTTGGATTATGTTAGAATCGGTGTTGGAAAGTTATACTTTAGTATAATTATTTCTATAGGCATTTCAAGATAACATACCTAGGCTCTTTAAATACTTGGGCACCTAGATTAGACCTAAGTGGTCTATTCACGACCTAATATTACTAATGTTAAGTGTCGATTAGTGCAACAGTACTGACAACAATAACAATTCCCATTGCGGCATTGCTGTGATAACTCGTCTAATATATTGTGTTTATTATCTAGAACAATATCTATGAGAATGATAACAGGTGTGGATATAATTAATATTATACTGAAGTGCGGTGACATTTTTTTATTTTGCTTTTATCTTTTAGTTTTCAGCGTGTACTTGTGAAGTGCAGGTGTTGTGATTTTTATTGTGTGTTTAAGTGGTCATAAAATATTGCATATTTTGGTGAGTAATGAGTAATTATTGTGTTTTAATTGCAAAAAAAACGAAAGGTTCAAAATTAATGGATATATATTTATATTACGTACTAAAATGATTTATCGAGTTCGATCAGTAATTACTGGACGTCATAAATTGAAAAACGCATTTTTAACAAAGGTTTTGAAGTTCTGAATCTATATGGGTAATTTTGTTGCTAAAATATATTTCAAATTTTTGTCATTACTTACCAGGATCGGCTGGTAATTATTTGTAATTGGCGAACGTTTTTATAAAAAAGATTTGCAAATTAGCCGAAAACTATATTATTTAATATGTATAAATAATATTTATATTTTAACCTTGAATAAGTTTACCTTTTAGAAAAGGCATTTGTGTAATAAATGTAATAATATGCAAGGATGATGTTTGAAATATATCGTAAAGCATTGTTAGGTGCGTGAAACGTAATCGGTGTTTCAATTGAACTCCTAGACAAAGCCATTAGGGCTACCCACGGTCTGCTGTTACTAAGTAGCAACTAGTAGAGTAAGGCTAAATGCTCTATTTGACTTGTGTTCATAGTACGAGGTAATATACCTGTATTGATTTAGTAGATTTTATATAGTTTCGAATAATACTGTAATTAAATTGATAATAGGTAACTAAATATACTAAGCACTATTAAAATATATTTTCTTTAGGAATATTATATGTATATGAAGGGTTTCTACTTTCTACCCTCGAGCCTAACATTTTTTGAGGTCTCTTAGAGGCTGGTTACTCCAATAGTCCAGTTTTTACAACCGTTTTGTTGATTTAGTTAATTTAATATAGAAAAAAATGACTATAAAATACGTTTTTCGAAAAGGTATCTCTGACTCGACGTAATATCAAAGTATATTTAAATATATCGAGTGCTAACGCCGCGTTATAAATGACTGAACGTTGATTTTTACCGGACTCGCATACATATTTTGATTGACCATAGTAGCATGGTGTATAGCTTGTAGATAGTTAATATTTAATTTGCTGAAGATTGCTTGAATGTTTTCATGATTTATAGATATATACATTTGGTTATAATTTGTATTAGAATGAACCAGTCCGAACGACGTGTATAAACCAACAATGCGTGTAAAAAGAGATAGGTCGACTGCCACAGCGTTCACAAAATTCCGATTATTGATATGGAAGAACTTTTTACAACAATGGAGACATCCATGGCAGACCATACTTGAACTGGTCCTTCCCGTGGGAACTATGGCACTGGTGTTGATAGTTCGTATGGAAATAGAACCAGTTAAAAGGGATGTCATACATTATCCCCCAATAGCAGCGCATACTTTAAATTTCTCTTTGCCTGTTTTGTAAGTATAATTCTTCTCTCTCTTTCTCTTAATTCTTGTTATTTTAATAAACTGAGCTTTTATTCAGTGTGGATTTAAGACTTTATTTACAATGATAGAATGTAATAGGATACTTATTAGAATATTTACTATTATCAATAGGGATAGTACCTACCTATAACCTAATCTATTTTCTATGGTTTTATCTATAATAAATTAGTCCTATTAAGTAAAAGCACAGAAACATAAAAGTATGTGAAATTTTTTAATCTAAAAAGGGATTGTGGACTATTTATCATTTGAGGTTCATTTAGTAAATGAGTTTTGATAAAGTTTTTAATCATTAATTTACAAATTCGTTTTCGACCTTCGACGTGGATTATGAACTACTAATTATAATATTGATAAATAGATTATCATCCTTAGAGTTGCGCTGCGGTGGTGTTCTGTAAGTTCGATACTGATCCCGATGTCTTCGTATGCGATTTCAATGTAGTTCTCTCAAAATCTGTAGCGCCGATGTTCTTTGGTATCACGTGGTACAATAACTCTACATTTAAGGGATCGTCGTAGCTATTGGATGTTACAAGGTACCGGCGCGGCGCGGCGTTGTGATTTTTGTGATTCATAGAAAATTATTAATATAATGAAGTCCTTTCACTACTGTATGCCATCGCTAACCAAGGGCGGGAGATATCGGAGCTGAGTGCTACCATTCTTAACTATGAGAAACTTAAGTGGACAACTTTGAATACCTATGGGAGCGTTCAAGTATTACGTACATTAGTATAAGTAATTTTGTTTTCAGATCGGGCATGAATTTAAGCGAAATGTCGATAGCATACTCGCCAGAAAATCCAATATTAGAAGATGTAGTTCGAACGGCCTGCGTCAATTTATTTGTTGACAACATTAGAGATATTTTAGAATTAATCATCTCACAGATCCCCGATTTTCCGGAAATACCGCCCGATATAAACTTAAATAATACATTAATTATTGAAATTGCAAAGTTTCTTGTTAAAGTTCGTCCATATAGCAACAGTCATGACCTCAGAAGCATTTATGTGGATGAAATATTTACACGAAAAATACTTGCTGCTGTCGAATTTGATGACGAATTAGCAGGTTAGTACAAGCTTTTATTATTTTTCCTGTTTTTTTAATATCGAACTTATGGCGTCTGGTCTGGATGCATTTATTTAAGTAATTGACGTCAAAATGTGTCCCCTAGTGACTGCACTTTTTGGTATAGTCCTTTTCGTGAAAGAAGTCCCCCAGACGCAGCGCTGTAATCGCATGACGTAATGTTGACATTTATGAGTAAAAAATTTACCTATTTTACATTTAGCATATTTAATTACCTAATCAAATAATACTATTTTCTGCATACTTCTATGAAACAATATTTCTGTTATGTAAAAAGTATATTTTTATTTACTTATATAAGCGGTGTTCTACCTACTTGCAGGGATAAGATGAGAAAATAGGGTAATGAAAAGCAATACAATTTTTTATTCAGAGTTTTATTGAATAATTGTAGATCAGCGGCCATAGGAACATTGTTGGCAGGTCGTGGTGCTGTCCACATACAATTGTCTATGATGCACTGCATTTAAATTTGGAATATCTTTATTTTATTTTTAGATGTGCGGTGTCATTTAATTTAGTTCATATATTTTCTCATACAAGTAAACACAATGTTTTCAAGTATTATTTGCATATTAATTAATTGCTATAGCCACTAGTCCACCCTATCAAACATCATTGTCTGAAGAGTGGATGGAAACAGAATCAGATTCTGTTTCAGTATCACTAGCCGTAGATATAATTTTTGTCGCGAAAATGAATTTATATCATAAAAGTCCCATCAATACAGCAAAAAATTATTATGTGGCAACTCTTAAAAGTACCTGTTATGGCTACGAACATTGTTTAGTGGTATTAAAACACCTTGATTCTTTTGTTACGCTTCACAGAACTCTTTCATTTTCAATATCATTTCTCGAGCCGAATTTTTTAGAACTTTTGGCATTGTAAACAATCTTTAAAATGCACTAAGCTAGTTAAAAACTCACAAAAATCTACCACAACAAACGAACTTGATAACATCGACGAACGACAACATGGCCGACCTGTCAAATTTAGTTCCAAAAATCTCCGCGAGACTTCTTTCATGAAAAGGACTATACCTTAAATTTCCTCAGTGTTTTTAAACATAATATTTTAAAATATAATTGACAATTGACTAGTATTAATGGGTTAAATAGGTTTAAACTTTAAGATATACTTTTAAACTGTAAAGATATCGTATCGGTTAGTGACCAATACGTATTAAATTTTCCTGTTACAATGTAAGACTTTTCAAGGCATTATTGTACAGAGCCATCGGTACTTTACTAATGTTTGGTTATAGGAATCGCAGACTTGCCAAGTGACGTTAAATATGTCTTACGTTTTCCTGAAAGACCGAGGTTGAATTCATTCTTCGTGACTGGTAGTCGAACGTGGCATTCCGACAATGTTTTTCCATTTTTCCAAATGCCCGGCCCTAGATTCCCATTTTCATGGGAAGGTGGTAATTCACCAGGTAATTATGTTATTACTTTAAGCAAATCGGGGAAAAACGTTTTCATTTCAACTTTACAATCTAACTGTAAAAGCAATTCGAAAATCTGTTCGTTTAATATTTATTGGAAACTATAAAATCGTCAGAACTGGACATTAGTAGTATGTCGATTATTACCTGGAAATCTAGATTAAAAATTACTCCTAGGTCAAGACTTTAAAATGAGATAAAAATACAATTACTTCAAGGTATATTATATCTACATACTTCGCGTTACTTATTATTTTTAGTTTTTAATGTCAAAGCTTTATATTACTCATTTTTACAACCGCAAGCGTACACGCAAGCGTAAATTGGTATATAATTCATTAATAGATATTTTATGCCTAAACGGTACTTGCCTACTTCAAATGTTCTCAATAACTTTAAAAAATTCACTTAGTTTTTATAATCTAGATAATAATGACAATGCGTCACCGAAATTAAAAAAATAATAATAATATTATATGTGAATTCACTAAAAGCAAAGTCCAATTATAAGACGTTTTTATCAATTATTTTTAATCATAAGGGACAGCTTACATGAGGCCTACTCTGTTGCCTATTGTAATACCATATTATCTGTGGCAGCGCCCGCTTTATTCTATGCACTGTGGTTTGCTGTTCATGTTTTGGCGCCATTTATAGTTTTTATTCTTATTATATAGTTGAAATCGAGAACATATTATTCATGACGTCAAAATTAGAAAAACAATAATAATATTAAATATAATATATTAAACATAATTTAAATGTTTAAGAGATTTCGGAAATTATGTAAATATTGGCAAATAAGTAAATGTCTTTTATGATACAACATTTACTTATGTAATATACCTATAAAAATAATGTATACCTATAAAAAATCTGTATCTGCTGTCGATTATTTTTTTTCCACGTTTTTATATTTTCAGGCTACGTAAACGAATTATTCATTGCCTTACAACATTCACTATCGATGGAGTTAGTATCTCGTCTCACAAATAGAAACTTACGTGACTTCAAAGTAAATATACAAAGATATCCCCATCCAGCATACCTTGAAGACCTAGCTGTGGATGCTCTGAAGCTTTTATTTCCTATGTTTGTTATGATTAGCTTCAGTTACACCGCTGTTAATATTGTCCGAGCTATTACTTTGGAGAAAGAGTCACAACTAAAGGTATGATGTCAGGTTAGGTTTGTATAATAGATTGAGAATATTCTGTTTAATTTTATTATATATTCGTTATTTGGTTGTCATCAACAGCATCTTATTTACATTCAACAGCATTTTATTTGAAACCGTTGAAACGAACACTGCCAGAATGCTTGCAAATACGTTTCTGGGCTTTTAAAATTGGTTCGCTCCTCTACATAGAATTGAAACTTTAAAAACTAATATCTTTTTATCACATTCTTTTTTGATGTATCTAGTAAACAGGGACATAAATAAGATTTTTATTCGTTTGGATTAAAAATAATTTATATTTCGAATGTAAATTTGTTTTTCTGAATTGTTAGTAAATTTTTGAATTTCTAAAGATCAAGAACATTGCAAACATTTGTGGCTGTCAAAATATAAACCGCGTAATGTTTATTAAAATTTTATTTTAAAAATGAGATATGTATATTGCAAATTTTACAAGGCTTGTTTTAGTTAAGTATATTTACTTGCGGGCATCAATAGTCAAAAGATTAAAATGACTTGCATCAAACTGAGGATAATCTTAACGTTAATTCTGAAATACAAAACGCTTCTAACGGTAAAAACCAATAAATATTCAACATGCTTGAATAAACACAACGACTAATCTTTAACGGCCGGCAATAATTGGTATGTACGTGTCATATCATATTGTCCGCATAGGAAGTGTAAGGGGCATTTCCATACGCATTCAGAATCCAATAGAGATATTTAATTTCAGCCTGTATCATTAAAAGTAGTCTTCATTATGTTTTATATAATCTGCCTTTGTGACTATTTTGGCAATTTTAAAGTTAACGATCTCATACCTTATATAATCACAGAAAATATACTTTTAAATTTTTACCGCGCTTATTATCACAGTTTTGTATATTATACATATTAATAAGGGACAAATATTGTAAACCTGCTTGCTGTAAACAAAAACATAATACCAAAAAAAGTTTTAAGACTATCTATCTATCATGACTTGCAGTATTGTCAACATAAAAAATGGTAATTTAGCACGGCTGCTACCTCAAATCCCTTTCCGCACATATTAAAATCGCTTGTTTTTATCCTACTATAATTGTATTTCTTAGTATTTTCTTTTTCAGGAAATAATGAAAATAATGGGTCTCCCAACATGGTTGCATTGGATTGCGTGGTTTTTCAAACAATTCGTGTACATGTTTATAATTTCTAGTCTTCTCGTAGTATTGCTTAAGGTAAGCTTAAGATTAGAACAGACTTGTGAATAAGAGATTTCTGTGTGAGAGACAGCGCTAAGTATGACAGCGTTTGTCAAACACGTATTTTGTCATAGGGGAGTCATACCTAGTTTCTGAATCTTACCCTTAACGTTTACCATGACTCACATATGTCAAAAACCTAAGTCTATACTCTGAACTTTATGCTTAGTAAATAATAACACTGTAAGGTATAATTTAATTTTTTACTTTATTTTATATGTGTTGTAATAGTATTTTAATATCCTTTGATTTTATTGGCTAGGTAAAACGTAATTACTGGATTACCACTAGTACTGAATATAAAGGATTTTTTAGGTAAATTGGTTTACAACTAAGGAGGGTTTTAGCGAATATGCAGTGTTTACAAATACACCGTGGACCGTTCTTCTCTTCTTTATAACTCTGTATTTGACGTGTACCATATTCTTCTGTTTCATGTTGAGTGGCTTCTTCAGTAAAGGTAAGAGTGAAATTTGCGAATACAACACGTTCGATTATTATTGACTACATTTTATTACATAGTTGTATAAAACTAAATAATTTAACAAAATCAATATAAATATATATATATATATATATATATATATATATTTCGTTACGCTTTGACTGCGGAACCGTTGCAAAATTTTGATATAGAACATGATGGTTATTTAAATTGTGATTTTTCAATATAAATAAAATATTGTTTAGAATATTTATTGACACATATATGTGTCCATTTGTCCATATTTATCAAACAGGTTTAGAACGAAACTTAGGAAAACAAACCAAATATTTATCTATTGTATTCATAAACGTCTCTATGCGCCTTGAATAAAGAAAATACATACATTGAAGGTTTTGTATCACTCTCGTGAATTTGAAGATAGAGAAACGCGACAAAAAATTCCTTGGATCGATCTCATGTTTAACCTCTCAAACGGAAATAATTTCTCCCCTTTGTAACATTGATGCTTCGCTTCTATTAGATTTACATATATAGTTGCTTTTATCAATATAGATAAAATAAGTGGCGGGTATTTGTTGATTATTTATTGATTATACTAAGTAGGTACATGATTTTACCTGATTGTACTCGCTCACCAGGAGGAGGCGTTCACCCTCCAATGAGGGCTTCATGCGAGGAAAGCACAATTATTACAGTGACGTGACACGACTAAAAAACCTACGAATGTTGACTTCCTTCTTATAAAATACTAGATATACTCGTATAATTGACTTTGACGTTAACATTTATTATTTGAAAGTTAATTATTTAGTTAGAATTAAATTTTTCTTGATAAAAAAAGAGAAACTTTCGCAGAAATGTTACTTACCACATAATAAAACATATTATTAATAATTATTATTTATTTTTAGCAAGTACGGCGGCGTTGTTCACTGGGGTATTATGGTTTTTGACGTATCTACCATCGTTCCTCCTCAGCATGGAGACTGAGGTGCCACCTTTTCTTCAAGCGCTGACGTGTGTGGCCCTCAACTCGGCCATGTCTTATGGCTTCCAGTTACTTATTTCCAAGGAGAGTGTAGATGGTATGTGTTACGTAACATGCAATGGATATTTTAGTTAGAATTTAAAATAAAAATGTGTATTTCAACATTGTATATAAGTAGAGAATGTATATATAATTAAGTGTTAAACAGAAAGATACATTTATTAAAACGCACACAAATTAAGACAAACAAAAACAAAAGAAAAACTAAATATAACAAAATAGTAGTGCAGTGTTCACTGAGTAAGCTCGCACTCGCATTGGACACGGGCAAGTGACAAAATGAATGCTGCCTTGCGATTCTGTAACTCACTTTTCGAACTCTCACAGCGGTTTTCGCAGCGGCGGTCGCGCTCAAATCAGTCGTGAAGCAGTCAGTGTACGATTTGGCATTCTGATAAACAATAAACTACAAGCTCCCTCCGCTTGTCAAGACGTAATGTGAAATTGCTTAACAGAATACCATGAGATTAAAATGACGTGAGTGACGAAGGGAGCGTTGTTAGTGCGAGGTGAACTCACGGATTAACCAGAATCGCACGGCTGTTGTGATAACAGTATTATAATTTCCCGTGAGACCATTGAGTATATATATGTAGTCGATATATGCTAAGTTTCACAAAATTAATAAATCCTTTCAATACAAAATAAACTACATGTTTAGCAAAAATATATATATTTAAAAACGTTAATAACATAAATAAAAAAAAAAAATGGTAAACACTTTTACCCTAGTAGTTTTTCGGTTGTGATTTTCTTGCGTTCAAAACAATCTATGTTTTTAGGTATGACCTGGGACAGTTTTTTCACCTCGCATAGTCTGGATTCCAATCGATTCCTCTTTGGACACGTTGTAATCATGTTATTGTTTAATTCGATACTATATATGCTTGTGGCATTATATCTGGAGCAAGTTTTGCCGGGAACATGGGGTACGCCCAGACCTTGGTACTTTTTACTGCAGAAGTCATTTTGGTTCCCATCAAAAGTGGATAGTTTAGGTTTGTAATTGTTACGTTATGTTGTAATGTATCCATTGTATATGTATATATTATCTTAGTTATACAGTAGAACTTCTATAACTGGACCGTCAAGAGACTCGCCAATAAATTTAAGTTATAGAATTTTCAACTTATTGAAGATTTTGATTAGAATTTGATTTTGTACAGATTTATTCTAAGTTTTGAGTTAGAGAGGTGAAAAAAAGGAATTTTTTAAAGTCTATAGTTTTTCTTCGAACTATTGACGTAATAAGTTTCAAATAACGAGTTGTTGTAAAATAACACATTATGTTCGAGATACAGAGATCCAAAATAATTTTTCGAGTTTAGAGGGAAAATATGTAAAACGGCTTGCTCACTAGAAACTCGCTCAATGGTTTTGGGGCTTAAAGGGAAGGGAACAAAACACTTATTCGAATTTTGGAGATTTTCGACTTAAAGTATTATCTCGTTGTAATAATTTTGTGATTACCTCTTTTTATCACAGACAATACGCCAGAAAGAGACCAATAAATAGTATACTTTAGTTCAAATAGAGAGAGAGAGAAAAGAAAAAAACTATAACTAAAACCAACTATATCCTAGCCTGTTCCAATAGTTGAAAATCTCTTTTTTTTTCATTAATTTTTCCCTTATTCATTGATAATAATCAAGGTCAAAAACCTCTTCGTTATACAACGTTTAATTCGAAACAAATATATTAAAATTATAATTTTTCAGATTTAGAAGTTGAGGATAATGAGATGCATATAGTAAAAGAGAATGATCCAACGGAGCACGAAGTTGGTGTAAAAATATGCGTAAGTATTAATTATTATTCGTACTAATCGGAAAAATACGAAGGTAACGAATCTTATTTGCGGTCACGGACAGAAAGAATCAAAGAAAAAGACACCACGCCCTCAACAAAGACGTTACTCGTGCCTTAGGTACCTATACTGTTTCCAAAAATATAGAAATTTTCGAAATTGCAAAACGATTTCTATCTTTTTTATTTTTTTTTAAAGAATTGTTATAATTAACAATCATTTCGTTAGAGGTACTGTTAAGATAGTTGTATGGTTGGTAATCAATAATAAATAAATAAAAATTGCTTCCAATTAGCGGCCACATGGCCTGGGCTCGATTTGTAGCAAAAATAAAATCGGAAGTCTGATTACCTTTTTATCTAAACAAATTATCATTGAAATCAGATAAGGGGGTTTTAGACTGAAATAACGAATCAAAACGTGTTCATATAACAATTTGTCGTTACTTACGCGAGTATATTATTTGTTTGCGACTTCCAATTTTGTTGCTTTCGAGTTACAAATAGTAGAAATAACTTAATTGTTTTTTTTTGTCTCTGGTTTATGCGAGTAGGTACTAATTATAAAAATATGATATCGCTAATATACTTTAGCGAATATAAACGCGATTTTTTTGGATTTGATTTATTTATTTACAAAAATACATAAACTATACTTACAATACTAATACGATTATGTCGATATTAAAAATAAAATATACTACAATATTTAATTTTAAATTCATAAGATAGACAATTTCACTACAGAACTCACTCTACGACTATATAAAAATGTTGATAGTGTCGAAGACAGCATTAAGTAGGCGCAACGTCTCTGTTGTTCTGGTTCTTGGTACCGCAAACAATATTGGCCTGCGCCGTCGAACATATCCCCTAGGAACAAAGCAACCAAGTTCTTGAAGAACACTTGGGTTGCTCACCACTTCCCACAAGACTTTAAGCATATAGTAGGCCAATTATTTATCAGGTATCGTAGCTAGCGGGAGACATCGAGAGATACACACGTCCAGTTATTTAAATAAAATCGAGTTTATATCCGTTAATTAAGTAAGAAATTCATTTATATGCTATAGCAGGCGGAAAGGTCGGTAATGTTAGTTTAACTTTTGTCTTTTAGAATTTAACGAAAGTGTACGGGAATAACATAGCTGTGAATAATGTTAATTTAAATATATACGACGACCAAATTACGGTGTTACTCGGACATAACGGAGCTGGTAAATCGACTACAATCTCCATGTTAACAGGTGAACTATTTTGTATATGTATATTGAAGGATAAATATTAAAATTGAACGGGATTAAGATGAATTAAGGTATGGCGCATTTAGTATGATAATGAGAGAACAGTCCATTCCAGAGATCTTTAGTCCATTCACAGGCATACGGACTATCAGAAGTTTGACAAGTTTTTAACCTGTATTTAGTCTTATGCTGACTTTAAAATACTTTTTACGCGGTTTCACACTGGCACGTAGAAAGACATACAGATAAAGTTTAAACACGAACTCTTCCATCTGTTTAATCAATTTCTTTTTATTATTTCTTATATGCTATATTTGCATGTAAGTGCTTGACTCATTAAAAATTGTATTGTATTTTTCTTTTATCAATGTATCAGTGTGCCGAGCGTTGGCAAGCTTTTATAAATAAAAAAATCACGAATTAGTTCTTTCCCCATTTCTTGGCCTGCGTCGTTTGTGCGTCAGCCATGTTTCACGTACATTCAAATCACTTTCAATTGCTAAGAGTTATTTTAGATGTATATTATATATTTTTCCTTTGCTATGCTAAACCATTTTCTATATTAATCTAATAACTAATCCATCAGATAAGTCAGTCTTGAGATAATTTCAGTTTATCTTTTTATTTAATATTTTTCATTTTATATCAAACGACAACGACCATCCCCATTTTTTTCACCCAATCATTAGTTAAATATGTTTGGAAGTCCACTTTTGTCCAGTCCACCTTTCTTTCCCGCCATTGGCACGGTATTCGTTATACTTCATGTTTTCTACTCCATTGAAGTTCGACAAATGCACGCAACTCAATGTCATCTTTACTGTTGTCTAATCAAAGGATTATAATATTTATAAAGATTTCCGTTTTTAAGGGAATGTTCCAATAACAAGAGGTAGTGTTAAATTAGCGGGTTACAACATAGCATCTCAGTTGCAACTTGCCCGTGCGCACCTCGGTTTATGTCCGCAGCATAACGTGCTATTTAACGAGCTCACTGTTAAAGAGCATTTGGAGTTCTTCGCGCGGCTTAAGGGGTTCTCTGGCAAGGAATTGGATAACGAGATAAATACGTTAATTGAAAAATTGGAAATGCAGGAAAAGGTGAGTTTGGGTCTGTTCCGGACTTTTGCGGCGAATTTCACTTTGTTTTCAATATAGAGTTTTTATCTACGCATATATCGATTATACAAAACTATAGGTATTGAAAATAACTTTAAAAGTAGGTATATTATGCGGTGGGAAATAAGTTTTTAATTATTCTTTCTTTTAGATGTAACATTTTATTTTAATGCTCGCGAGCAGGCTGTTATTGTAAAAAAAACATATATATTGTTTATATTCCCACTATACCGAAAAGAACAGAATAATACATTTTCTATTAGAAAATATGATTGTTAGTTAAGAAAAAACTCATCATTATTTTTTCTTTGCAGTGTTCGTTATCTGTGGCAGCGTCTGTTATTGCGCATTCGCTATTATATTCTGACTTGTTTTTGGCGCCATTTTTAGTTAACTCTTGTTTTGTAAATATAAATATAAATTCTATTACCAACCTCAATAATAAAAATAAAAAATATTTTTAGCGCAATTATTTATCGCAAGGTCTATCGGGTGGACAAAAACGGCGTTTATCTGTTGGCATTGCGCTGTGTGGAGGCGCTCGAGTTGTTTTATTAGATGAACCTACATCAGGCATGGACCCGGCTTCCCGAAGAGCACTTTGGAACCTTTTGGAAAAAGAGAAAAAAGGTCTTTATCTAATATATAAAATTCTCGTGTCACTCTTCGTTCCCATACTCCTCCGAAACAGCTCGACCGATTTTTATGCATATCCAGTAAGTCTGCGAATCAGCTAACATCTATCTTTCAAACCCCTAAGTGATAAGTCTACTCATTTTAATATAATGATTAGATAGTTTGCTTTTAGCTTGAATCGTACACATATATGTTTTAATATCCTCATTTTAACATTTTGTTTGTCACTAATTATTGAATGTAAATATTTTTTTATCGAAATATGCATTTAAATATATAAATATGCACTTATATAAACTTTTGCAATAACCTATCGATCACATATAGTTTGTAAGAATTCTGTTTATTTAAAGAAAAAACTTTTTTTATATTTATATTTTGGTCACCGTGACCACGCACGCTGTAAAGCACGGAAACGTCGGTTAAATTTAGAATTATGTTAAATAATTGTAAATTTATAATAATACATAACTTTAATCCGGTTAAAGTATATATGTCAATAAAAGACAATACTATTCTGTTTATTATCAAAAGTTAGGTATACAGCATGCTGTGTGTGCCTGTTAAAGGTTGTATAATCAGGTTTAATGTGATTTTCGTGTATTCCTAGACGTAAGCTTTTACTGTAATGCCCGTTGGCAAACCTTTTTTAAATACATACAAAAAAAAAACGTAACGGAAAATAATTATACAATTGAATTTTAAACTGTTAAATAATATTAATTTTTCAATGATTTAGGTAGATCAATGATACTGACAACACATTTTATGGACGAGGCTGATTACTTGGGCGATCGAGTGGCTATCATGTCCACTGGGGCCTTACAATGTATCGGTTCACCATACTTCTTGAAGACGCACTATGGAATAGGATATACACTTGTGGTTGTAAAGGAAGAGGGATTCCAATTGGATGTATGCACTAACATCATTTGCAAATATCTACCTGATACTGTTCCTAAGGATGACGATGGTATGTATGAAAAAATCTTCACTAGCGTACTTAAAAGTCGGCAACACCCCCTAAGCCTATCTAAGTGACTATGTTAAAATAACGACGTGTGACGACGCGTTTCTTTTGTTTTTGTCTATCTCGTCAAAGCTCGCGAGAGTCGCCAATGAAATTTGACCTAATTTTTAGACGTGACAACGTCTTATAATTCGATGTAGCCGGCTGCACGCACTAAAAAACATGACTCTGAGGCGTTCCATTTAAGGCTTGAATTGCAAGCGAGAGCGCGGAACGAGCGACAAAGAGGCACAATCGGCCTCCGCGTTCGGCAGCGTTCGTTCGTTAAAAAATTGACGTAACTGTATTTATGCGTACAAATAAATGTAACTTGATCAATTCAATTGTGATATCCATTTACCTCCTTCTGTATGGATATAGCATACAAAATATCTATCAAACAAATAAAATTAAAAAATTTTTTTGAATAATGCTACCATTCCATTAGTATTTTCTTATGACGTTGTCACGGATAACTATCGTCAGTAAACCGACTTTTTGCGATTTTTTAAAAATCTAATGCAACTTTCAATTGTATAAAAATCATAATTAATATAATTTGTTATAATGGTAACTTTCGTACGTAGTAATTTTAACATGAGATTATGGGCCTCAGTAATGAAACACAATCATTAAACAAATTATTAGTTGTTATGGAAAACTGAGAAATGTGAAAGATAGCGTAGTTGTTAAAATAAGGCGAATTAATGTTCGCGCCTAAACCTTATAGATCTGTGCTTCACATTTCTGTATCTGTTTCGAGATGATTTGTTTTTCTCTAATAGGCAACAGGTGATCAGTGTTTTGCCCTCACACCCCTCGACTGTATGAGCCAACGCATGATTTCCTCACGCTATTTTCCTTCATCGTACCCGAGTGATAAATACGTAAATAAGGCCAACACTGCTTTAATAGAATTAACCTAATTATTTATATTACTCTGCGATTTGAATTACGATACGAATTACACCATTTTAAACGAGTGTTAGTCATGTTCATAAAACAACGGATGTCCAAATATTGTTTAAATTAAATGTATTTTGCTATCGCGAGATTACGTTTTTCATTATATACATCATATTTTTTTTAGTTTTCTGTAGGTAACCTCATATCTAATCAAATTAACAATCTATTCAGATTTTTATATACTAATACCTATATCAGTCTAATAAATTACTCATTATATAATATCGGAAATGTTCTACCTCATTATTTAGAAATTCTAATTAAGTAGATGGTTCTAACTTCAGCATTGGTCTCTTTTTATCTTACTGTACACAATTTGATAGAGATGACTACTAAAGCTTTTATGAATTGTTTTTAAAAGTATTCCCGTATGTTAAAATCCAATATATAGAACAAACTATATGAACTCGATTCTGAATATCACTACTACTGTCTGAAACAAACTGCTTTTATCAGTAAGATATAGCCCATACATACTTTGTCTTTTTTATTTTATTTTTCTCCTATTTTGTGTAACTGTGATGTAATTAAGGTGTAATTGTTATTACTTATTACTCTATGTTGATGTTAAAAACCTAAAAGCGCAGACATTGGAGATTTTTTTAATGGTTCATTCAGCAATAGGTAATTATATATGTATATGTATTATAATACAAACTTTAATTAAATTTTCTTACTACCAAATCATTGGACCATGATAGACAAAGCAAGAATATCTTTGAATACATTGTAAAATACCCCTTAACTCAAAGCAATAACGACGATATTAAAATAACGTTATTCAAAAAATAATAAAACAATCTTGATGTTTGATAATAATTATAACTTAATTTTACTGTGATAGGCGCCACAAATTCTTCTTCGTAAAGATTTCACAAATTTTTAATTTCGATCGCTAAATCTAATTATAAGATTTATTTTTTATTTTACTCCGTTTTAGCCGTGGAGGTTACGTATAGACTACCAAGCTCGAACCGAGATGTGTTCGAAGAAATGCTAAATGACTTGGAAAATAATAGATCTTCCATTCGGTTTAAAAACTATGGGTTAATTGCGACGACTCTTGAGGATGTTTTTATGTCGTAAGTTACTAAATAATTTTAGAATGATATTAGTTAGGTTATTTGCTGCTTTTCCATACATTTTTCTATTAAATTATTCCTTGAATTTAGTTAATAAATGTACGTTATTCTTATGTACAATGAAATATTAAATTACAATCTCTATTCAATAATATATCAGTTCTAATTCAAATATTTTCTGACGGCTAAACACTGAGGTTAGTTCAGTACCAATGATTCTTTTAAAATAATTAAATTAATAACTAGGTAGGTTCCAAAGTGCTCTTAGGCACTATGACGGTATTCAAACCCGTGTATTTATGTCTTTCAATATACTTTTAGAGTGGGTTCGGATACAGAAATCAGTTCTTTGTCTGATGATGCGACGACTGTTGGCGAAAATTCTGATGATCTCAAAGACAGTGGTTTCGACGTCTCATCTCTGGAGAGATGTAAGTTCTTTTTAATCACTTTATTTTTACATTGGTTGTTATATTCCTATTATAAAATCATAGTTATCTAGACTAACGGTACTATAATCATAGTTGGTACCGCACTTTGACATATCGTATGCGCACTTTTATGCCAAAACAAGTGAGTGTTATATCTAAATAGCTATTTTACATTATTAAGTCGATGGTCACCCAGGTGTACTTGATTTCCAAGCTTAACTTTTTTCTTCAAAAATATCATTTTCAGTGGACAAAGCATTAGTAAACGAGACAGGTCACAGATTACTCTGGCTGCACGTCAAGGCCACTTGGTTGAAGTTATGGTTGGTCTGGACTAGATCCTGGGGTGTGTTATTTCTTCAAATTCTGGTGCCAGTATTACAGATAAATATCAGTTTGGCCATTACAAACTATATTTTGATTAATCGCTCTACGGTTATTTCGAGACTTCTATCGCTTACTGAAGGGTAAGTTTATATAATGTTATACTTTTATTATTATTTATACTTTTTGATCAGATGAATCTTTGATAAATGTAAAAAAATATGCATATCGAAAAAAATATATTTCTTAAGCGGCATTTAAATGACCTTTTATAAATATCATTATATCATTGTAATAAAGTTAATTAAAATTACAATTAATATAGCTCATAATCTGTCTTTAGTCACATTTGATATCTAAGTACATATTATATTATCAGCTGATAATTTGATGACGGTGAAGTTATTATCTTATTTTGATTTTCATACCTAAATTGAATTTAAAGGATTTTAGATTAATTAAGTAGATAGGTACATATTCAATTAACAGGAAAATTCACCTTCTAAATTGAAACTGACCAAATTTATCAATACCAACCTGGAACTAGGCTCTGCATTTATAATAATATGAGTAAAAGAAAATTTACTTTTCACTCATTAATCCGCATTAATTATCACGTTTTCGATATAATTACATTTACAAATTAAATATGAAAAAAATAATTTTACTTTGAATACTTGCATTGCAGCTAATGTTCTTATCAATGTTAGTGTCCCTCATAACGTGCTTGTTAATAAAAAATGTACTTAAGAAATGCCATTAATAATATTTTATCTAAAACGCATGATTGACGTACAACATAGTTAAAACGTAATATTACCTTCGCGTAATTAAACTGTTTTATGACCCAATTTGTACTTAATAAATCTTGAATATATTTTAATTATAAATAATTAGTTATTTTTATTATTATTATACTATGTATGTTAAGAATAATGTTAATACTAATTAATTTTTAATAATTAAAGAAAATAAAATCAGTTTATTTATAGTAAATAGAAAAGTACTAATATAGTATTGTCTTTTATTGACATAACTTTTAGACATAGAAAAACACTTTTTTAACGGATTTGAAGTTATGTTTTATTATAAATTTACAATTATTTTACATAATTAAAAAATTTATCGACGTTTCGTGTGCTTTACAGCGTGCGTGGTCACGGTGACTGAAGACAAAAGGTGTTGAATGTCAAAAAGTATCACATTTATAATAAAACATAACTTCAAATCCGTTAAAAAAGTGTTTTTCTAAGTACTAATATATTTTATTATAGATACATATCTACGGAGACATTGCTTTCTTTCAACGGTACGCAATCGTTATCCCTGGGCGGCCTCGCGAAGGCTGGGTATGAGCTGATATTCAAAAATTCTGATCGCGATTCTATGATACTA